AAAAGAAAAGAATTCGGTTAAATTATATATTTTATGCCTCCTACATTAAACAAGTAGCACCAGTGGTCTAGTGGTAGAATAGTACCCTGCCACGGTACAGACCCGGGTTCGATTCCCGGCTGGTGCATTTAGAGCTGTGATGAACTATTGCACAAATTATGAAGTTGGGTCTTCATAGTCATCTGATTTAAATGATGAAATGTAGTGTATCTGAGCTCTGTTTTTTTGTTTCCTACGTGAAAAGATATCTATCTCTTAGGGTTATGTTATGTTCACATCATGACTTTTTTCGTCATTATGCGAAAAAAATTTATGTTCAAAAGAAATACATTTTTGAAGGATTCAATACGAGTGTGACAATATTTTTTGAAAGTCAAAGCGATATAGCTAATTAACATTGTAGATTTACTTGATTTTTATATACTTCCTCTTTTATTAGGAGGAAACTAATAAACGTAATTACAATTTAATAAGTTTTTCTATCTACGTACCTAGAATTGATAAGAAAAAGGTGTGAATTAGAAGATAAACCAAGACAGCTCGATGCATTAAAGCTTACGCTATATGGAGTGTTTGAGGAAGGGTCCGACCACAAGGTGACCTCCTCCGAGGTTCCCCTTCTTGAATTAGAAGATAAATAAAATAATATTCAATCTTGCATCAAGTTTATAGGAAGAAAAAGTAATTTGTGCCCATAATAAAGAGCGTAATATTTTTAAGACTACAAATATTGTATATTAGAAAAATGCACATGCCCTCATATGTTTTTTTTTTTTGAATTTTTTCGCATGATATATTTTTATTAGAGCTTGAATATGACACATTTATGATAATGGTGGAAAATTTTATCCATCGGTCTCACCACCATTATCAAAGAAGAATTATACTAGTCTACTTTAAGTAGCCAAGCAATTTTCTACCACAATTATTTTTGATATATTTAAATGCTTTTTATTGCTTGACATTATGTAATTTTTAAATATATAAATTTTATTATAAATAAATAAAAGGTTAATATCTCAATCCTAAATCATATTCATTCTTAATCAAAAGTCTTGATAACGTCATGTTAAATACAAAATACAATTAGTATAAGATTTTATCTGTATCTTTTATTCAGAGTACAAAACGACCCCGTATGTGACTATTGATTATACTGTTGGGGAACTTCAATTCCTCTCTGCTCAGTGACGGTAAGTTCTTGCTACTCATAAAGGTTAATACTGATTCTTGATTTTAGTAGTATATTTCTTAATTTGCTGTAATGGGTGTAGAAGTTATCTGAAATTGAGTTTGTTTTTTTCATGGACCCAAATGTTTTCTTGAGCTGATTCAGCAAGTTCTTGATTTTTTAAATAAAAATGGAGAAATGGGAGAGGGGAAGACAGGGAATCGAATTCTTATTGACAAGGTGAAAGTTCGGGTAGCTAACCTAGTGAGTTACTAAGATTCTCCTGTTTCTTGGTTGTTTATGTATGAAAAAAGTTACCTTTTTTATTTATATTTCCTTGATAAAGATGATAGTAGTGTATTTACATATGCTTGTTTTGGTTAAGTGTTCTGTTAACAGAGGCGGAGCTAGGATTTGAAAGTTATGAGTTCTGGATTCTAAGATTTTACTGTCTCAAGGGTTAGTCATTGGATTGTGAATTTATTTGGTGATTTTTTTAAATGCATATATACATGATTTGAACCAAAGATATATGCTACCTCTATCCATGTGTCTGTGTATCTGCATCTTGTTTGTTGGTGATGGGGGAAGTTGGTTATCTCATTGAGGGGTTGAATTTTAAGGTAGCGGATGTAGAATAATGTTGTGAGTATGTGACCACTGACTTATAAGTTATGTTGCTCGGACTCTGTTCAAGGTGTATGTTGGGTCCTCCAAAAATAGTGCATTTTTGAAGGATTTGACAGGGGTGTATTTACATATGGTTATTTGGTTGATTGGTCTGTGTATCTGGATCCAGAGGCGGAGCAAAGAAAGGTAAAGGGGTTCAATTGAATCTGTTTGCTGAAAGTATGTTTTATTGAATCCCTCGACACAGAGGCGGATCCAAATTTTGAACTTTATCAAAACTTTTGTTGCATCCCATTCAAATCCATTATCTGTTCTTATTTAGTGAATCTTTTAACATATACTAGGTCTGAGCTAAAGTTACTGGTGTAGATGAACTCGTAAATTGTGAACTACATCCACTCCTGCCTCGCGTGAGGAAAGATTCTAGTGTAGTGGTAAAGGGGGTTAAAAAATTGTTTTAGGTCATAGGTTCAAATCCTTGGTGTAAACTCTAGTATTTATAGCAGATACCAACTAGTTGAGGGTTGAGACGTAGTTGGTTGATTGATTAATATAACTAGTTCGAGCCAAAGACAGTTCGTTTAGATTGTGGGGGATGAGGGTAAAAGACTGATAAGTCTGAGTTCAGTACATTGAGGTCCTTTGGGACACGGAATGCCCTTTGTTTATAGGCAAATATGGGTATCACGTTTGATTCTCCCTTGCCGAGTTCACAAATTTTGTCATGTTATATGATATTATTGTTTTTATTGGAAGTGTATTATTCTTGTGTTCTCTTCTCAGAGTCAACTGATTATATATTTCTCGTCTTAGTTCTTCATAGGATAGATTTGAGAGATTGCACCTTGTTAGGTATTTTTGTTCTTCCCTGGATTGACATGAGAAGTTCCACATGTTTTCAGCTTCAGGAGTATTGACTTCTGTAGTAATTATTGATGGAACCAAACTGCCCAACATCTAGCAACGATTATGCTGCTGACATCTCTTCCATCAGGCAAGCTCAAGTACGCATTGAGCCCTTTGCACACAGAACTCCTGTCCTCACCTCAGAAACTTTAGACTCTATTGCTGGAAGAAAGTTGTACTTTAAATGTGAATGCTTTCAGAAGGGGTGAGAAGCTCTTTAACATAGTGGAAGGATTTCTTTCAAAGTAGTCCTGTATGAGTGTGTTGTAGTGAACTAGAGTTTCTGCCTAAAGGTTCTAATTAAGGGCCAGTGTTTGTGCAATTTATCAGGGGAGCTTTTAAATTCCGAGGGGCATGCAATGCTATTTATTCACTTGATGATGATCATGCTGCTAAAGGAGTTGTAACTCATAGCAGGTTCGTTCAGATCTTTCTGGTTTCTGTGGTTTACTATCTATATTTATTTTTCTGGATTACCTCCTGATCTACTTCCTGTTAAATTTAGTGGAAATCATGTTGCAGCTCTTGCTTTGGCTGCAAAGCTACGGGGCATCCCTGCTTATATAGTTATACCAAAAAATGCTCCAAAATGCAAAGTCGAGAATGTCAAACGTTACGGTGGTCAGGTTATCTAGAGTGAGCCATCGATGCAGTCCCGAGAGGATACTGCAAACAAGGTGTTGCAAGATACTGGTGCTGTTCTTATTCATCCCTATAATGATGGTCGCATTATAAGGTAACATTGGTTTTCTTTGTTATTTTTTAATAGATGATACTTGGTACTTCCCCCTTCTCAACTACAAAATAGATTGAGAGGGGCCTGAAAGCCCCCAAAGATGCCTTAAGAGTATTTGTGTGCTCGTGTTTTGTTAAAATTTTATCTCCTGCCCAAGACAAACTGAGCCCTACATCTCACTTTATGTGTTAATGATCCTTCTGTATGATGATTTCATCTTTCTCGACATTTGCAGCAGTTTCATTACGAACTATTCCAAGTCAACCTTGAACTTCTAATTGAACTGTATGGAATGGTAGTTTTTGATATTTCAAAATATACTTTTTCCAAAAAATTGAACCTTTTTGCTAGGAATCTAGACAGTATGATCTGTGCTGATGAATATTTCTCCATTTAATATGTTTTTTTGTGGTCTTTACAGTGGGCAGGGTACAATATCACTGGAGCTTCTGGAACAGGCTTCCGAAATTGACACCTTAATAGTCCCAATTAGCGGTAAATCAACTTTTTAATGACTTTGATATATCATTTTCTTCAAATTTTAATTTGTAGACCAGCCTCAATTACTGGTATGGAATGAAGGTGGTGGTTTGATATCGGGAGTTGCGTTGGCTGCGAAAGCCATTAATCCTGCCATTCGCATTTTTGCTGCCGAACCAATGGGAGCGGATGATGCTTTCCAGTCGAAGATCAATGGCAGGATCACTAAGTTATCTGAGGTCAACACTATTGCTGATGGGCTTCGAGCCTTTCTTGGAGACCTCACATGGTAAGGTCTTAGATCTCCTTCTACTCTAAATTACTGTGCCTATTTGGAGTTTTTCGCAATCAAAATCAAAGGTTTGTTGGCGGCAAGATCGGCATGACTCAATGTTTTGGAGATCGTGCTAATTTTTTTAACTATGTTGCTTGGATTCTTCAAAAATACTGTCGGGTATGCATTTTTGAGGATCTGACCCAAGTGATGCAACATCTTTGGAGGGTCCAGGCAACAGAATTTTTTGGTTCTCACTTTGAGTGTATTTACCCCTGCACTGAAGAAGGCTCTTGGTCCCTTTTTCCCAAGCCCTTCTACCCCCTAACTCCTTTTCTTTCACTTCTACGCCGATTTCTAACAAGCCAATTCGATAACTTTGCTTTTTCTAACACACTCTTGATAACTTTGCTTTTTCTAACAAGCCAATTTGATAAATGGTATCTGGCATTTACCTTTACCGTCGAACAGGCCTATCGTCCGCGATCTCGTGGATGACGTCATAGTTGTTGATGATGAAGAGATAATACAAGCTATGAGACTTTGCTATGAAATTCTAAAGATTGCAGTGGAACCAAGTGGAGCTATTGGCCTTGCAGCAGTTCTTTCCAATAGTTTTAAAACAAATCCAGCTTATAGAGAATGCAATAATATTGGCATTGTAATTTCTGGAGGCAATGTTGATCTTGGTGTGCTTTGGAATTCCGTTAACAAATGAGAAACTCTGTATTCAATTTCTCCCCTCATTGGAACAAACTTCTATATGATTCATGTATTCTTGCAATTTCTTGTTCTTTGATTTATGTTTCACATTATTTGTTTTTTTTGCTGTTCTTTTGTTCTGAATGCTTTGTATTGCTTTCCTTCTTAGTTGTCATTCTCTCGCTACTGTCTTATTTTCTTTTTTATAACTGCTTGCTTTGATGCTCTTGAGCCGATGGTCTTTTGGAAACAACCTCGCTACCTCCACGAGGTATGGGTAAGGTCCGCATATACTCTACCGTCCCAGACCCCGCTTGTGGGATTACACTTGGTATGGAAGTTCCATCGAATGTTGAGTCAATTTCTGTGATTTTAGCTACTGAGTATTGAGGTATCTTTCTGCTCAGGTACTGTAAGTTCTTTCCAGCCATTAAGGTTCATTCTTTCCCTCTTAGTTCTCTTTCTATTTTCAGTGTCTACTTTCCACTAATACTGGTTCTTGATTTTAGTATTTTTTTTTAAAATTTGCTGTAATGGGTGTAAAAACTATCTGAAGTTGAGTCTGTTTCTCATGGACCCAAATGGATTTTTGAGTTGATTATGTAAAGTCGAGAATGTCAAATGTTTCGGTGGTCAGGTTATCCCGAGTGAGCCATTGATGCAGTCCCGAGAGGATACTGCAAACAAGGTGTTGCAAGATACCGATGCTGTTCTTTTCCTTCCTTTAATGCTGGGCGCTTTATAAGGTAACACTGTTTTTCTTTATCATTTTTGAATAAATGATACTTGGTTCCACTCTGTCATTATTCCGGTTATAGTAATATATCTGATACATGTATTATTATTCATATTTTTATCATACATATTGTGGCAAAATACAATGTTTATTATCTCATACATATTGTGGCAAAATATAATAATAAATGTATACAATCAAGAAGAAAAAAATTCAATCAAATCCTCTCTGGATCATATCTGGGTAATATCTAGAAATTCGTGTGTATCTGGAGAGGGATAAGTTACCTAACCAAGAGTTCTCTTACCCTACACTTGTTTCCTTGATAGTATGGGTCAAAATTCTTTTTTCCCCTTTTCAATACATGTATCTTAAACAACCTCTTTCCTTTCTTATTATCGATACTTGCATCTGCTGCAACAACTTTCAATTTCTTTGATTTTTTTGTTGTTGTTCATCCAATGACCGCATTTTATGGGGTCATTGCGGAACTTAGTTCTCCTCTCGGCTTCTAAAGCAGCAACAACCCCTGCATTGTTATCTTCTTGAGTGAAAATGCACAAATCAAAGTATGGACAATCTTGATAAGAATGTTGGTTAGAGGGTAATACCTCGAGTAAGCCTCTTATGAGTAGAAGCTTCCGCCATTGATACACAGAAAAAAAAGCTTGAGAAGCCCCCTAAATAATTCAAATTAACAGCTTGGAGTCTGAGAATCAGTAGAAGAAACTATTAGATACACATAACCAACATATTTATTGAGGAATTGAGGAAGAAGCAAAACCGCGAGATAGAGAATAGGAGCAAATTAAGAAAAGTGGGATTTGGTAAGAGAATTAACTGATAGACATACAGTGTATTAAGCCTTCAAAAGGGGAAAGGAAACAAACTAGTGAATTTGCTATAAAATGGTAACTGATGCCACATTTGGTAATATGTTAAAACTAGAACTATGCCTTTTAGATATAGTAGCTATATTTGCTTCGTTAGGTAACTAATTTATGAGTGAAGAAGTGGGCTGGACCATTAATCCTTAAAAAGGGGAAAGGAAACAAACTAGTGAATTTGCTATAAAATGGTAACTAACGCCACATTTGGTAATATTTTAAAACTAGAACTATGCCTTTTAGATATAGTAGCTATATTTGCTTAGTTAGGTAGCTAATTTATGAGTGAAGAAGTGGGCTGGACCATTAATCCTTAAAAAGGAGAAAGGACACAAGCTAGTGAATTTGCTATAAAATGGTAACTGACGCCACATTTGGTAATATTTTAAAACTATAACTATGTATTTTTTATATAGTAGTTATATTTGCTTAGTTAGGTAACTAGTTTATGAGTGAAGAAGGTATTGACACTCAGAAATCATTGTCACCATCTACCATTTCTTCTTCTAAAGAAACGACACAAATTGAAGAAGAAAAAAGAAAAGGAAAAAAAGTTTTGAACATTTCAGACAAAGCTTTGATAAAACCCAGCTGTATGAAACGTTTGTCTGTAGATGTCGTGGCTAAATCACAACCCCTCATCAAGAATGAAGATGATCAATTATGAACCATTAGATTAGAACTTCTAGAAATATGCTCTCACGTGACAAGCTTGTGAGGAATAATAGTTGGTTACATATACTTGATAGCTGTTTGTTTTATTATTTTGTTGTTTTGTAGTGAATATACATGTACAAATACAGAAGTTTTGGGATGAATGAATGATTCAGAAATTTTCCACAAATCAATTTGCTCTTCTTTCAGAAAGGGGCTAGACTTATTTAGAGGGTGTTTGGATTGGCTTAAAAGTTGGTCAAACCTACTTTTAAGTCAGTTTTTGACTTCTGGAAGTGTTTGGCAAATACAAAAAATAATTTAAAATAAGTTAAAAATGACTTAAAATAAGTTGGGGAGTGTTTGGCAAAGTAAAAAATGACTTAAAATAAGTCAAAAACCAAAAGTAGGTCTCCCCCTACTTTTTATTTTTTGACTTAAAAGTCATTTCAATTTGACTTTTTATTTTGGACTTAAAAGCTACTTTTTTTACGTCAATCCAAACAGGCTCTTATTCTTATCAACATATAAGTATATGAGACATATTAGGGTAAGAGAGCTCTTGGTTCTTTTGAAAAAAAGCTTTTTACTCGAAGGAAGGGGCTGGAACTTTATTTGTGCTGATAGTGAAGCTCTCGTCAATTTAAACTTCAGGTTAAAATTTACTTAGTTCATAGCTTTATTGGTTCTTTTTTTTTTTTTTTTTTTGTTGATAAGTATACGCTAGAACTTGTTAACGATATAATGTAGAGTCCATGGAGCAGATGTGATAAGAGAATCAACACATCTGTGATGATGGTCACATCCATTTTCCATGTAACTGCTTTCTTGGTTCTTTTGAAAATGTTGTGTAGTAAGAAATGATGACGATTTAATGATTCTATAATGATTCCTATACTGTTAAGACGTTTTACTTTGGAACAAGAATGTCAATATATATATATTGATATATTAAAATTGAATATTTTGATGGATTGTGGTAATGAGATATGCTTTCAGCTTTAGATTTATGATTTGAGGTGTAGAATATTGAGATTTGGCCTCAAGTCTGAAATTTAAGGAAATTGAGATTTGACCCATCATTTGACAGAAAGATTGAAACTTGATTATAGATTTAGATTCTGTGGCTTATGGGTAACATGTCCATGATCCATCATTTCCCTTGGTTGATCCTTGAGATCAAAAGAATTTCCTTTCTCATTAAGTCTAATCTCAGGCTATTTGTCACGTTATATGATATTATTGTTTTTCTTGGAAGCTTGTTATTCTTGTGTTTGTTCTCAAAATCAACTGATTATATATTTCTCGTCTTAGATCTTCACTGGATAGACTTGAAAGATTCCACCTTGTTTGGTATTTTTGTTCATTGATCTTCCCTGGACTGACTAAAAAAATATCACATGTTTACAGCTTCACGATTGTTAACTTCCAAAGTAATCATTGATGGAACCGAATCACACAAAATCTAGTGACAGTTATGCTGCTGATATCTATTCCATCAGGGAAGCGCAAGTACGCATCAAGCCCTTTGCACAACAAACCCCTGTCCTCACCTCAGACACGTTAGATTCTATTGCTGGAAGAAAGCTGTACTTCAAATGTGAATGCTTTCAGAAGGGGTAAGAAGCTCTGTAACGTAGAATGGAAGGGATTTTCTTCAAAGTAGTTCCTATATAAATGTGTCGTAGTGAACTAAAGTTTCTGCTATTTTCGCTTCTAAGTCTTCTAACTAAGGGCCATTTGTTCGTGCAATTTATTAGGGGAGCTTTTAAATTTCGAGGGGCATGCAATGCTATATTTTCACTTGATGATGATCAGGCCATTAAAGGAGTTGTAACACATAGCAGGTTCGTTCAAAGTTCTGGTTTACTGGTAAAACTATCTTTATTTTTTTTTTTGGATTATCCCCTAATCTACTTCCTGTCGAATTTAGTGGAAATCATGCTGCAGCTCTTTCTTTGGCTGCAAAACTACGGGGCATCCCTGCATATATAGTTATACCAAAAGATGCTCCAAAATGCAAAGTCGCAAATGTCAAACGTTATGGTGGTCGTGTTATCTTCAGTGAGCCATCAATGCAGTCCCGGGAAGATACTGCAAACAAGGTGTTGCAAGATACCGGTGCTGTTCTTATTCCTTCCTCTAATGATGGGCGCATTATAAGGTAACACAAGTCTCACTTTTTTCACTAGGAATCTACACAGAATGATCTCTACTAATGAATAGTTCTCTACTAATATGTTTCTTTATGATCTTTACAGTGGGCAGGGTACAATATCTCTGGAGTTTCTGGAACAAGCTTCAGATATTGACACTTTAATAGTCCCAATCAGCGGTAAATTCAACAATTTTAAGACTTTGATATATTATTTTTCTTAAAATTTTAATTTGTAAATCAGCCTCATTTTCTGATTCGGAATGAAGGAGGTGGTATGATATCGGGAGTTGCATTGGCTGCCAAGGCTATCAATCCTGCCATTCGCATTTTTGCTGCCGAACCAATGGGAGCAAATGATGCTTTCCAATCGAAGAGTAATGGCAGGATTACTAAGTTATCTGAAGTCAACACTATTGCTGATGGCCTTCGAGCTTTTCTTGGAGATCTCACGTGGTAAAGTCGAGCTCCTTCTACTATAAACTACTGTCTGCCTATTTTAAACCTTTTTCATAGTCAAAATCAAACCTTTGTTGGACTTCTAGCATTTACCTTTACCATCAAACAGGCCTATTGTCCGCGATCTCGTGGATGACGTTATAGTTGTTGATGATAAGGAGATAATACAAGCTATGAAACTTTGCTATGAAATTCTGAAGATTGCAGTGGAACCAAGTGGAGCTATAGGCCTTGCAGCTGTTCTTTCTGATGGTTTTCGAAAAAATCCAGTCTATAGTGAATGCAATCATATTGGAATTGTTCTGTCTGGAGGAAATGTTGATCTTGGTGTGCTCTGGAATTCCTTTGATAAATGAGAAACTCTATTAGTCCCGAGAGGTAGATTCAGAATTTGAACTAGTAGTTCGAGTTTGGAATTCTACCACAACTCATTTGATTTACTGGGTTCGGAATCAATTACTATTTGTTCTTCTTTAGTTAAGTTTTTTTTTAATATATACAATGTTCGATTCAAAGTTACTAGTTTCAGATGAATTTGTAACTTTCACTTTATGTCCATCCTTGGGAACAAGTGTTATTCAATGATCCAACTTTTCTGTTATTGATCATATTTTTGAAATTTTTGTATCGCGAGGATTCATCTTTATTGTTTTCTGTGCCTGTTAACTTCTTCTGTTGGTTGCCTGCTAGGACAGATAGTATGTTGTAGTAAATTGTTGGTTGAAGACGTACTATCTGGTTCGAGGTGTTAGTGAGGATTCATATCGTAATACTTTCATATAGTCATAATATATATAAACATTACCCTCGTTCAAATGATGAAAGGAGCACTACTATATTGCATGAGAAGAAGGATTTTTGCTTGTCCTAAACAGGTCTACCTAACAAGTTAGAAAGAAAGTAAGTACATGTCCGAAACAAGAAGTTCATGGAGAAATGTTCATCAAGTTCATGGTATATCAATTAACAAGGAGCCGTGAATTGTTATGACTTGCAAGTTTTTGTAATACATATTTGAAGACGATAAAATTGTTACCAAAAGAAGGGAATTAACAAAGTTTCTATTGATACCTATAGGGAACAACATAAGGAGCAACCACAAAATGCTCAAAAAACTCACAGTAAGTAAATACACACTTCTATTTATTCATTTTTGCAAAATTTGTAAATCTGTTCCATTTTTCATCCCACTTATCACACATCTAGTTAACCACTTCCCATACATATAATTGATATCAAAGTACACTCATACCTATGTTTCCCTTTTGTCAGCAGAAAAAGATAACTCTGTCTTACCTGATAATCATTAAAGTATCAATCTACATACTGAAACTGGTTTATACCCAAATATATATATAAAATAGGGAAAAGGGTCAAAATTACCCCTCAACTTTGTTTTATTGATTGACTTTACCCTGCAGTTAAAAACAAGTTATTTTTACCCCTACCGTCAATAAACTTAACAAATATAATGGAAAGCCCCAAATCAATTAAAATTATCCGATTTTACTTAAATTATCCAATTTTAACCCGATCCGACCCACTTAATAATATACCCGAAGTTTCAACCCAAAATTTCAACCATTCACCAGAAATCATCTTTGCCGCGTTCGCCATAAACCCTGTTTTCCATTCCCTTTGATCAACTGATACTGCTCCAGTAACAACCATGGGATTAAATAGCCAAAACAAGTTAAGATTACTGATGAAAAAAGTGCTTTAGGAAAAGTTTTTTTTGGGTTTTCAACTTCACCAACCAAAGTACTCACATTATCCCAAAAATTCAAATTTCAAAACAATGAATTGAAGAACATATTCCAATCCTTCTTCACCCCTTTTTGCCCTAAACTGATCCACTATGGGGCTGAATCTTTGGAATCGCAATCAACGACATTATAATGAAAGGTTCAAGTGATACAATCCCAAGAACAACAACAACATAACCCACAATAGCTAATCCAATATAATTCAAAAACGCTAACAATAACGTAGATACCGAAATAGCCATATATCTCGATAACCCAGAACTAAAAATTGGGAAAAGCTTTTCCATATAACTAATACACAAAATAGGAAACAATGCAATGTTGATAACACCTCTCCGAGATCTCCTTCACCACCATCGCCGAAACCACCACCTCTCCCACTACTCTACCTCGTCCAAGTCAACAGCCCTATCAAGAGTCAATTTCTTGCTTTCTAAGACCAAAACCTTCTGTGTTTCCCAGAAAAAGTTAACTCGAGGAACAAGTGAATGAAACCTCGTACAAACTCCACAACAATCTTGTTGAAAATCAAGAGAAGAACTGGATAAGATTGATGGTTGAAGTGGTCAACAGGTTTTGGGTAGATTTGACCTCAGATCTAACTTTGAAAATCGGGTATATTATTAAGTGGGTCGGGTCGGGTTAAAAGTGGGTAATTTAAGTAAAATCGGACAATTTTAATTGATTTGGGACTTTCCATCCAAGGAGGGGTATATTTGTTAAGTTTATTGACGGCAGGGGTAAAAATAACTTGCTTTTAACGGCAGGGGTAAAGTCAACCAATAAAACAAAGTTAAGGGGTAATTTTGACCCTTTTCCCTATAAAATACTAACAAATATGCAACATAAACTAAATGTTTATAAGTTGAAATTTTGACTAATTTATTTTGATTGAAATTTAATTGATTAATAAAAAATTAGTTGTTTGTACTTTATTTTGAATATATATTTCTACACGTGTAATTTGCTAGTATGATACAATCGAAACTTTTTTTTTTCTAATTTTGAAGTCATAATACTCATATATATTGGTAGAAGTTAAACAAACTATGATTACCAATTTACCGTACCATAAAATACTGAAATCGAACTATATCAAATTAAATTGGTATGGTAATAGTATAATGTTTTAAAAATCAAATTTCGAAATTATGATATCGAAACTTTGAAATACCATACTGTGTACCATACCATGCCCAACCCTAAAAGGAGTAAAGGGACATCAGCCTAGCATCGCGCTTTCCCTTGAATGAAGCCTTACGTGACACAAATTAATCAGATTTTCCTACATGACACAAATTTCTGATTAGTCGGGTTCTAATACTGATACGAAATCGAAAAAAAATAAAATCATCAGACTAATACGGCGTCGTATATCATGTCTTCCCTTCTTTTAACAAACTTTTTAGGGTTTTAGAGTCCCCTTCCCATCACTATGAGCTCTACAGCCATGGATATCCAACCCCCTCCTCCACCACCATGTTGGAGCAACATAGTGAAGCAACAACCGCCGCCACGGCCACCGCCGCAACTTACTACTACTCCGGCCACCGTCACCGCCGCCGTAGCTGCAGCAACGACGGCGAAGGTAGGTAATGGAGTTTTGGTAGGGAGCTGCAAGTCGACGAAGGGGATAGCAGTGGCTGTGGTAGATGCAAACGCTATAATTCAAGGCGGAGATAAGCTGAATCATTCTGCTGACCGGTTTGTTACGGTACCTGAAGTGCTTGCGGAGATTCGTGACCGGAACTCCCGTCATTCACTCAATTTACTTCCGTTCACTATTGATACCACGGAGCCTTCCCCTGATTCTCTTAAAAAAGGTTGGAAATTTTTCATTTTTTTTGTTTGTTTGCAAAAAATCACTATCTGATAGTTCCCCAAAGTGAGTTGCCCGATACCGATATTGGTGGGAGGTATTAAGTGTCCGGTGGAATAATTGAGTTGCACACAAGCTGTGTTTATGTATCAGGGATCGAACTCGTGACCTATGGTTAAGTGTTTTGTTTGTAGTTATGTGTTTTGTTGAATGTGTAGTTTGGTAGTTTTGATAATAATTTTTATTTTGATTGCTTTGGTTTAGTTACATGTAAGTAATTTCACTTATTTGCTTTTAACTCTCCGTTTGGATGGTTGTTACGTGTTGTTTAAGTATGGTATCGTATTGCCTTGTGTTGTATCGTCTTGTATTATTTTAATGAATCTAACTTTTGAATAGATTGTGAGTTACTATGAATCATTAGATAATAAGTAAAGATAAAAATGAGAAGAAAATATTTAGGTAACTATGTGATCACACCAAATCGGTTGTTACTCAAAATGGAACTTTTCGTTGGTACTTAAGATGAATTTAAACGATTCAAATACAGTAAAATTTAAGTTACAATCAAAACAAATATTGTATTTAAACTAATAATAAAGTACAATGGGTAACAACCATCCAAACAAGGTGTAGAGATTGATCGTTTAATTGACTAGTTATATGCTAGTCATCTATCTATATTAAAAGTCTCATCTTTTATTTGGGTTTGGGATCGACAATGCGAATAAGCACACAAAGGCTGCTGTGAGTTTGGGTGGTCGGAGGTATTAGGAAAAAATATCTTATCTTGCTGAAAGAAACACTAGGGATATTTGTTGAATATGTTGTGTTACCTGGCTTTGCAGTTATTAGCTTTGCAAGGGGTACTGGTGATTTGCACACACTTTCTGATGTGGATCTCAAGCTCATTGCTTTAACTTACACATTGCACGCTCAATTTCATGGAACCCAGCATCTCCGGGATTGCCCTCCAGCTATTCACATGATTAATGTAAAAAGGTTGCCAGAGAAGGACTTGCCTGGATGGGGCGCTAACATCTCTAATCCGGAAGAATGGAAAGCAATAGAACATGCACTTGATGAAGGAGCAGACACTACCTCTAGAATTCTTCCCTTGAAAGATTTGAGCTTGAATGTTATTCCTCTTGATCAACAAAGTGGTAGAGATGGTTCTGTCGTGAATGGTGTTGATTCTCATTCTGAGAATCAGATGGATGCCGACGATGGCTTCAGTAAACCTCAAAAGTACTTGCCACAGAAAAAAGAGGTGAAGATTAATGGTAAGAAGATGGTTGCTGATGGAATTGATGCATCACAGGGACAACATGATGATCATGGTGATGATTGGCTACCTGCTGCGAGCAGAAGTACTCATAGGAGATTTCTCAGACGAAAAGCTAGGCGTGAAATGTCTGAAACATCATCTAAAATGGATGATTTACAAGATGCAACTGAAAATACAGTAGATGAAAACCTCGAAAACTGTCAATGCGATGATATCTCTATGAACCAAATCCCTGAAGAAAATCCCGAGGCGAATGCCGAGGATGGTAATGTTTCTGAAGTAAGAGACGGTGAAGAAAAATTGTCTACGATTTTGAGTCAGATGCGGCTTGAAGAAGATTCTGCTAAAGCTCTTCAAGATGATGCAGATGTAAACATTTCCAATGAGGGGCCTGAATCAAATGATGCTAATCAAGATGGTAAAGAATTTGAAGAAGATGAAGGGGAGGATTTCGTCTGTGCTGATGGAGGAGCGGAAGATGCAGAGATGTCCAGCCAGATGGATGAGAGCATTGAGACATCGTTTGTGGATGATAACAGCAGTGAACAAAGTTGGATGTTAAAATCTTTGTCCGAGTCAAGTGTGGCCTGTGTGACAGCTGATTATGCAATGCAAAATGTTATTCTTCAAATCGGTTTACGCCTTGTGGCACCTGGAGGAATGCAGATCCGTGAGCTGCACAGGTATGTAAAATCTGTTGTAATATCCATTGTCTATTGTTCATGTCATAAAAGTTGCCAGAGTTATCA